ACAAACAATCATTATCACTGCTGGCTTTACTTTGCAAGTCAGTGCCATGGTCATGCTGGTGCATGAAGGCATGCTGTCCAGTTCTGCCAGGGGAGCAGATGAACCTCAAATCCTCTCAGTCATGGTGAGATGCAAGGAGAGAGGAGCTGAGGACACAGATGGGAAAAGTCAACTCCAAACAGCTTCGCTGTCTGGCTGCCTCTGGCTGCACAGCTGATCCAGCTGAGTTACGATCTGTAAGGTCAAAATATTTAGTGATGTCTGAAGAGATCATCGGATTCAACTGGCCGGGAATTTCAGCTCTGGGTTTTGTTCAATCCGTCCAGATCTGCTGGACAATAACCACGGCAGAGAAACCAATCTGCTGAGGGCCACATCTCCCAGCCCAGCACTTCTCTGCCTGCTTGGAGCATATTTCAGACATGTCATAACTCACCACATTCTCTGGATCATTCTTTCCTCTCCCTCCCCACAAGGCAGTCCCAGGTGGCAGCAGTGTTAGGAGAGAGGATGGAGAAGCGAGGACTCTCCTGCCTTCCTCTGTGTCCCCCTGAGGATGGGAAACACCAGCTCAGGGATTGAACTACCCTGTTGTGAAAGGACAGCATTTAACATTTTAATTGCAGTAGGCTAAGGTGCCAGGAGGTGCACAAACCAAGCACAGAGGTGATATTCCTCCCTGGTCCCCCCGTGCTGTTAGTCCGAGAAAGCCAAAGAACTGACAAACTCATTGCAGCAAAGCAGGCAGCTGCTGTGACAAGGACTCTGCTGGGAAGGTTGCGCTGGGGACTGATCTATCCCTGCAAGAGACCCCCTTGATCTCCAGCCCCGCTTGATTTCTCTGGTCTATCCCTTGGACCCAGGCTGTGCCTCAGCCCGTCTCTCCGGCGGGTGGGACCGGGGACTGCCCACTGGGGAGAGAGGGAGAGGAAGAGACCGATTTGGAAAGATAGCGAGGAGGAGGAGGAGGAGGAGAGGCAGCAGGAAACCCAGCCCACCCTTTGGTTTCCTCCTGCCTCCTTCTAAAACCTGCAGATTCCTCCAGCCCGTCCAAGCGCCTGAAGTTTCCTCAGCCGTGCTGCCGGGACTGCGAGGTATGGCCCGAGACCTTCGCGTTTGCCTTTGCCATGTTGTTTGTCCCGTCGTGGGGGTCCCCATAGCCCCATTCACGGGGGTCCCTGGCCCAGGAGCCACTATGCTGGCCCATTGGGTGCATTTGGTGCCCGGCAATACATTACTTGGGGTCTCACAGCATCCGTGTCCCCACCCCAAGTGATGTATTTTGACACTTCTGACTTCTTTTCTCCTCTTTGCAGCATCTCCGCTCCTAAACTGAGCTGTATTTCCCTGCCAGCTTTAACACTTTGGTGGCATCTGACTGTTAAGCTTTAACCTGCCCCGGTTTTTCTCTCTCCTCCCTTTTTCCCCTCTGGGTTTTCAGTTGTGGGGTATTTCCTTAGCGAGATGCGCCGAGACCAAAGTCTGGGTGCATCAAACCAACCTGCAGAGCAAATCAGATCTAACGATAAACCAGTCCCCATTACACCCAGCCTGAGCTCCATTGGCAGGTGATGTTTTACTCACCAGAATATGGAGAGGAAGAACAAAAGAGCTGTTGACTTCGTTTCAGCATTTTTATTTTTTCAGCACAGCCGCTCTTATTTCTCCTAAAAAAAAAAAAAAAAAGACACTCAGCTTTTTGTTCCAAGCAGACTTTGAAAGCATTTCAAGTCCTGCTGCCCTGCTTTGCTGAACTCCAGCTGATCAACTGTTAGAGAGGTGGTGGTTGCAGGAGAGGAGGAACAAAGCTCTTTTGGGTTGTTTTTTTTTAAAGTTTTAAGAACTTGGGCTCAGCCAGAAGCAATTTTAGGTCCAGGCAGAAGAGCCAGGGGCTCGTTTCCTTTAAAGGCAGCCGCTGTCTGTCGCTGACGTTCGTGGCAGCCTAACCCTGCTCTTTGTGTCCCTGCTTTAAGAAAGCTCCTCTGCTGGATCCAGCCAAGAAAAGGAAACTTAACAGGATGGGCGCCGAATTCCCACCCAAACCGAAAGGCAACAGTTTCAAGTTGGAGTGAAACTGGGGGCAGCGGGAAGGTTGCCAGGACTCCCAGCCCTCGGTTACCACCAACTTGAAACAGCCCAAAAGCTCAGCAACCCGGCAGAAGGACAAAAGTAAATCGCAGCCGTTTGTTAGGGTCGATCATGCGAGTTTTAAGCAGAAATAAAAGGCTGTCACGTTCTGCGCAGCAGTTAAAGCCCAGCTATTGTCTGCCACATAGGCAGGAGCAGGGATGCGGGCGGGTGCTGGGGAGCGGAGGGGGGAGAGGAGAAATAAACTTTTCAAACTTTTTTTTCAAGCCCCTCCTTCCACAACGCTCTGCTCTTCCATGACTCAGCCCCAGAGGAATGTCGGCTCCCATGGAAACCCTTTCTGGGTCCTCTGGTCAGAGGGATGTCGGGGCTGTTATCTGGAGCGGCTGTGGCAGGGCGAGCCCAGGGAATGCTTTGAAGATGGTTTGCATTTTTGCAGAATATTTAGCCAACGGTTTCCAGTCTCTCAATCTCTCTCCTTTGTGGCGCTATGGGGAGATCAGCTTTCCGTATCCCCCAGGAGCCAGAGGGACCGCTTGCACCTGGCACAGAAGTATCGGGGCTGCTTTTGGCACTGCCCCACATCCAGTCCAAACAAAAGAAAAATGCTCGGGCAGGACAGCAAAATGCTGTATCTCCTGCCCTCCCAAGGGAGGTCTGCCAAGGGCTCATCGCTGAACCCCTGCTTGCAGCCCAGGTCTCATCCCTGCACTTTTCTTGGTACTAATTTAACTGTTTCCCAGCACGGATGCGATTTGCACCCGAGACAAACTATGGCAGCCTCAAGCCAGCGCACACCTATAGTGACATTTGGGCTCTTGTATCAGTAAGCCCTGGGAGATCTGGAGCCCCTATAAGCACAATCAGAGCTGCTCAACTCCCTGCAAGGGGAACGGGTTAATGCAGTGTTGTGGTGTAGATATGTCTCTAGTGACTCTGCATGGACAGATGTGGTATTTAGACTGTTTTTTCCTGTGTTTTTCTGGGAGCGTGTAAGTGTGTGCAGGAGCTAAAGGGAATTTCACTTCCATCCAAACCTAGCTTGGCTTTCTGAGTGCGAGAGGGGCCTCTGCAAGTGGCAGGAGCCAGGCTGTCTTCTGCCCAGCCCTCTGCTCCTGCCCTGCTCCCCTGGGACCCAGCGCAGCTGCAGCACATCTGGGTGAGCCAGCACCCCCAGCAGCACAGCCCGGACACACAGAGACCTGTTCAGCAGGGACCTTTATGGGACCTCATGCAAACAGCTGACTGCAGATCGAATTTTAGCCCAGGAGTGGCTGGCTGAGTAAAGTTCAGAGGGTCTTGCTTGCATAGGTCAGGAGCCAGATGGTGTCATGGCTCTGTGATGGCCACACTTGGTCACCCCTCTGCACCTTGAAAACTGTGGCCCGCAGTGGGATTTGTAGGCAGAAGCTTTTTCTGGGCAGATCCTGCCTTTACGTTCAGCCTGAGGTGCTGGGGCACATCAGACCCTGTGGGGGCTTGGAAGAGCAATGAGCAACGGAGGGTGCATGCAGGAGACCCCCCCACTGGGGCTGGCTGCCTCCTGCATGGCCAGGCTGGGGTGCAGGTGGGGAGCCAAGACGTGGGAAGGTTTTGGCCCAAGGATTACCCACTCCTGTCCTCGGCTGCTGATGGTGGGAGGTGGCAGTGGGACCACTGGTCCGGGTTAGCGGTGAGGCAGCTGGGGTTATCCCAGTGGCCTCGGGGAGGAGCCGTCAAAGTGGCCAGGCAGAGACTCCTCCCCACGCTAACGTGGCATCCCGAAGGGCTTATGCAACCCTGGCCAGGGCCAGCGCCACATGGGCCAGGCTCCACCATCCATGGAGCCTCCTCTGGAGGCCGCACCTACCTAGTTGTTGTCCTACCCCAGCCTGCAAAAGCCCCCAGACTGGGCAGGAGGAGACATCAGGGATCAACAGACCCCAGTGGCACAAACCGTCCCCTTCCCCAGCAGCAGAAACTTATGTTGGTGCTACAGGATTGAGGGGGGGAGAGTAAGGAGTTGGCCAGAGTATCCTGCTTTGAATTTATGGAGGTTCTGTGGCTCAGTCTCAGACCTTTCTACGCCCCGTGGCTGTCTTGCTAGGGACATGGCTGCAAAATGCAACAAGCAGCTGGCGCTGAGGAAAAGCCTGGGCCATACTAGGAAGGTGAACCATCTAGTGGGGTTTATGGAAGCCACAAGACTCTATTATTAGAAATGCAGTGGAGCCCAAGGGCCTGCAGCCCATCGGTCCCAGGTCCTCTTCTTCACCATCAGCAGTCAGGAGGGCAGGCCTGAGGAGGGGACGGTGACTGTGGAGGCTTCGCTTACTTTGTATTCAGCATCCCTCTTTGTGCCCACAATGTGCTGGTTTCCAGCATGTCTTGCAAAGCACTGACCTCTGTTCATTCCTTTAGGATACAGAAAAGTGTAAGTTCCTGCTTGCTAAGATCTCTTTCCCCATCCTGTTTTCCTTTGTCCAAAATGACCCCTTGCTGTACCCCATTGCTCTGCACCTCATGCTGGCCTCTGCCCTCCATAGGGCTCTTGCAGAGTGGTGCCAGGCATTCCCAGAGCAGGGCCCCTCACAGGGGTCCCCCTGAGACCCTCAGGCTGTTGCACGGATGCTGACCTCATGGTATGGTCCAGCTGCCAGCTCCAAAGTACATTTTCTTGGACAGCAGGGTGATGGTAGGTCCACAAGGAGGGAGACTTGCACCACGGGCCAGGCTCTTCTGCTGGAGCAGCTCTGTGCCCAGAGCTCCTGAGCTGTTATTTCATGACTTTTCACCACCAGGCATTCAGGAAAGACTATGCCTTTGCAAAACAGCGAGGGGCTCACAGAAGCTGCAATGTCCTCTTATGCATAGGCTCTGCTTCAAGGACAATGTTGTTTTTCAAATAAACTGGTTTTCCCATCTCTGGCGCTAGACAGCTTTGCAGAGCTTGTTTGCTCAGACCCTTTCGTGCTCCTTCTTCATCCAAACACAACACTGGCAGCTCTGACTGTCTGGTGGCTCCTAGCAAGTATGTAATTCCCTGACCCCAGCTTACTGCATGCCCAGGCTTTGAAATTCAGGATTTTTTGGGGGTTGGGGAAATGATTTGAGAGGGCCTTGGTCTGGCGTTTGGTTCTTCTCAATGCCATCTTCCACGTGTACATATGGACTGCCCTCTCCTCCAGGCTGGTCAATGCTGTATTTCTGCCCAACAAGCATCACTGAACCTCAGAACATCTTCCAAAGCAAACAAACCCCTTGGGAGAAGCCCAGGAGGAGCCTTTACAAGCGAGGGGATGGCAGTAAGGGAGGAGATGGCTAGATTCACCAGTACTTTTCCACCTGCCTCCCCCTAAACCACCTCTCCAGAACTGAAGAACCAGTGATCTCCCCCAGCAAATGCCAGGAGAGCTCTCAGCAGCCTCCAGAGCAAATAAAGGCGAGGGGAAGGGATGGTGTGTACTGAGCAGAAGAAGGGGGGGAGCTGCTCAGCTGAAGTCTCCCCAGAGCAAATGGACTCATCCATCCCCACCTGCAGCCCCTTTCCCCACAGGTCCTCCATCCCACCACGGCAGCCGTCCCCACCACCCCATGCTCCCAGCCCTCCGATGTCCCTGGAAAGCTTCTCTCCCCTGGGAAGCTGGGGCTGGGTGAGGCGCTGAGCTTGGAAGGAGGATTTCAGCCTCTGCGTGGTTGAACCTTGCTAAATTAGGAAGCACAGCCCAGCCTGGCTGGTGCCCTGGCAGCACAGCCTTGGCATGGTTTTATACCCAGAGAGGAAGGGAAAGGATGCACTGGCCGATTAGATATCCACTCCATGCTCGCTGGCAGAGAAAAAGACACCTTGTCCAACACTTTCTGTCCCAACAAAGCCATCCAGGGAGCTGGTGGGCTGCGATGTCCTGCCCACGCAGGTGGGGAGGAGGAGGAGGGCGAGCGGAAGGGAGGCAGCGGAAGCCTTGGCAGGGGGACAAGTCCCCTGGCTGGTAGGAGACAAACCGGGGGTGTTTCGCTCTCCCGGCGGGCGGAAGGGAGCGGGCAGCCCTCACTGTCAGGAGAGAGATGCCACCGGCATATTAAGCGGCCAGCTGAGCTCCTCTCTGCCCTCACACAGAGGGGCTCAATCCTGCCAAACAGGAACTGGGGGGGACAAGGACAGGGTGATGGCACCAGCTGCGCTCTCCTGGCTCGCATCGTGGCCGGTGTTAGCTGAGCTGCCTGGTTCCCTCGTCCTACAGGATCCCTGCAACAGCCCAAATCGAGAGGGTGCAAAGGGCTCACCACCCTGGAGCTCATCTCCCAGCAGGATTGAATGCCAGAGCATCCTAGATCCCTCAAACCCAGTTTGGGGATCCTCAGGTCTGAGCAGGAAAGGGAAGAACCATAGCAGAGACCCCAACATTTGGGGGTGCTGGGGATGAGGGGCAGGTTGCTGATACCCCTAGAGATGTCTGTGTCCATGTGGGAAGGGCTTTTCTACAGGATTTAATTCTCAAGTGCCCCTTCTCACTGTCTCCCTGGTCTCTCTTTCCTTCTTCCACTTTCATTTTTCCTCTGATTGACAAAGAAAATGGTAGACAGATTCATTGCCTCTACCTGGGGCTCGTATCAGGAGCTTTTAACATGAAAAAAATGGGTTTTTTTCAGTTAAAAAACTCCTGTGGAGAACAGGGGAACTGCCATTTTGACTGCAATTTTTCTAAAGGCATCGAGGAAAGCAACAGAAACCTAAACCCCGATGCCCCATTTTGCGAAATCAAAAGAATTTGTCTTGGAAACATTATTTGGCTTAAGGTTTTGGCTAGAAAAGCCAGCATGTGGGTCTGTAATATTGAACAGACAGGGAAGGAAATAAAGAGAACGCCCTTTTCGAAGTGTCTGACTGCCAGCCGTGAGCTCAGCCCCGAGCCCAGCGGCACACGACGGTCTCCTTCCCCTCATTCCTCCTTTTCCTTTCCTTTCTTCAGGGTCTGCTGAAAGATGAGGGCCTGGATTTTTTTCCTTCTCTGCCTGGCAGGCAAAGCCCTGGCAGCTCCGGTAAGTACAGGGGACAACGGAGCCTCTCTGCTGTTGGGGTTGTCTGTCTGGTGTATCCGATGGGGATTTGCTTTTATAATGAATAAAATCCTAAGGGATGGGGGGCAAAGGGGGGAGAGGAAACCCAAGGGTGGCCATGCTACCTTCCTCAGTGGGTCACCCTCCTTGGGACCACCCATGGAACCCGGCTCATGGTCCTTTTCCCCTGCAGCAAGAGGCTCTGCCCGATGAGACAGAGGTCATCGAAGACCCCACCACAGAGGTAGGTGACTCTGCTCCTCCTCGTCACCCATCCCTTGCAGCACCCACTGCCTTTGGAAGAGCATCTCTGAAGCATGGGCTGCTCTACCCCCCAGGAATGGGGCCAAGATCTTTGTGCACCCCCAGCTGAAACACTGACCTCTTTTGCAGGAGCCTGTGGGGGCCAACCCTGTCCAGGTGGAGGTGGGAGAGTTCGAGGAACCCACAGAAGATGTAGAGGAGATTGTTGCAGAGAGTAAGTCGCTTTTTCCTTGCCCTCCAACTTTTGCCCTCCGGCAGGCAGAGAACTGGTCCCTTCCCTGGGTTGGTGAGCTTTAGATACTCCAAACAGTGAGGGGCTTCTTTTGGAACAGCTGTAGCACAAGGACAGTGCCAGCCTAGACGCGCAGTTAAAAGCAAAAGAAAGAGGTACATGACGTCTATCCAGCACTGGATTCTCCATAATCACTTTTTTGCCACAGAAAAAAACATTGCGTTGTGTGGCTACACAAAGGAGCTGAGGATTAGCCCAAGGGCTAACATGGGCTTCTGGAAACCCTCACATCTTCCTAGTGCAGGGAGAGATGTTTGGGGCTGTCCCTGGTAAAGTCTCTGTCTTCCCTCTGTACTGAGATGCCCCAGGCAGCTTGTGGGAGGTGAGGATGGGCCAGGCTCTGACTTTGCTCCCTGTCCTCTCCCAGACCCTTGCCAGAACCACCACTGCAAGCACGGCAAGGTGTGCGAGGTGGATGACAACAACTCACCCATGTGTGTGTGCCAGGACCCCTCCAGCTGCCCAGCCACCGCTGGCGTCTTCGAGAAGGTGAGGGCAGAAGCTGCTTGATGGGCTGGAGCAGGGAGGGACCTCACATGGGACATTGCCGGAGATGGGGGGGGGGAGACAATCAAAGCAAGGGCAGCAGGTGCCCATCTAGCCTCAGCCAGCAGTGACCAAGGAGCTGTTATCCATCCCAAGAACAAGTTAAACATCTCATTTGGAGGCTCTCCCTGCTGACCTCGCAGCAAGGCTGGGCTTCATTGTCCCTCAAGCAGCATCTCCCCATCCTGTGCAGGTCTGTGGCACCGACAACAAGACCTATGACTCCTCCTGCCATTTCTTTGCCACCAAGTGCACCTTGGAGGGAACCAAGAAAGGACACAAGCTGCACCTGGACTACATTGGGCCTTGCAAATGTAAGTGGAGCCATTCTTTTAGACAAGGGGACCCCTAACCTGAGCACAGCCCCCTTGCCCACAGGCTGAGGGAGAGCAAAAGCCCAGGCAGATACAGGACTGAGGTGGGGGGACACTGGGGCTGTGTGTCTGGGGTCTGGGACTGCATGTCTGGGTGCTGTGCTGACCACCATGTATGGTTTCCAGTCATCCCTGCCTGCCTGGACACAGAGCTGACCGAGTTCCCCCTGCGCATGCGGGACTGGCTCAAGAACGTGCTGATCACCCTGTACGAGCGCGATGAGGACAACAACCTCCTGACCGAGAAGCAGAAGCTCAAGGTGAGGGGTTGGGGAGGGATCCTGAGAGCTCACCCTGCCAACAGAGCCCAGCACACAAGGGAAGCACATCCAGAATGACCTGTGGGCACCCCATGAAAAGCCCTTCCCGGGGTCCCCCCTTGCACCCCATTCCCTGCTGACTTCCCGGTCTCACCTACAACAGGTGAAGAAGATCCACGAGAATGAGAAGCGCCTGGAGGCTGGTGACCACACCATGGAGCTGCTGGCCCGTGACTTTGAGAAGAACTACAACATGTACATCTTCCCCGTGCACTGGCAGTTCGGGCAGCTGGACCAGCACCCCATTGATGGGTGAGTGGTGGCGGAGCAGAATGGGGTCCCCTACCAGGAGCCTTTCCTGCCTGAGGACCAGGGTGATTCGGTGGCAGAAGGTGTCAAGGCTGGAGATGTGACACAAGAGGGTGGCTGGTGGCAGAGGCACATCAAAGCCCTGTGGAGGGTTAACCTCTGCACACATCTGGCAGCAGCTGGGGCAAAGGAGGCTGGGGTAGAGGCAGTTTTCCTTTCTGCAAAAAACTCTTCTGCAGAAAGAAGGGACTCCCCCAGCCCCAGCTGCTCCCATCTCCCTTGGGTATGGAGTTTCTGTCTTCTCAGATTTACTGTCGTATGATAGTTCCCTAAAATATCTTAGTCCAAAGGCCTCGGGATAAGTCCAACAGCTGAGATAGCAGCTGCTGGCTTAGCTGTGAGCTGGAAATGGGCTCAAGAGCGATTACATGCACAGACCCATGGTTGGGGGGCAGCTGGTGAGGACCCCCAGCTGCTGGCTATTTTGTGACTAGCAGGGCCGTTTGCAAAAGCCAACACCAGACCTTGACCTTCATGACACTAACTGGTGGACACTGGGAGGGCATTGGGCCAGCAGTCAAACCAGACCAAGAGCTGGGGCCAGCATCTCGCCTTGCTCTGCACCCCCCCCTCCCCACCTGGCAGAGCATCTCCCCTCCTGCGGGAGGGCAACTGGTGCTGGTGGATGGGCATTGACCATGCGGTCACCTTGGCAGGTACCTGTCCCACACCGAGCTGGCCCCACTCCGTGCCCCCCTCATCCCCATGGAGCACTGCACCACCCGCTTCTTCGAGGCTTGTGACCTGGACAACGACAAGTACATCGCCCTGGAGGAGTGGGCCAGCTGCTTCGGCATTAAGGAGCGTAAGTGCCGGGTAGAGAGGGAATGGGGGTGGGAGGGACACCAAAAAGCACCCCAAAAGCCCCAACTTGGGATGAATCAATGCATTACAGCTGGTCCTGGGGAGGGAAAAAGCAGGGGAGAGCAGGGAGGGGGGACTGTAGGAGCAATGGGACCCTGGGAGCACCCACCTCCTAAACTCGTCTCTCTCTTTTCCTTCCACAGAGGACATAGACAAGGATCTTGTGATCTAAACCCCCAGCTTCCGTCTCTGCTGCCAACTTTGTCTTGTTTTAACCTTCCCACTTCCTTCGGTTTTTGAACCGCTTTTGTTTTGTTTTGTTGTTGTTTTTTTTTTTTTTCCCTGGGAACAAGGTGCTAATATAGATCTAAACATACGTAGTAACGGTGCTAAGAGAAGTAACAGCCCTCCCTTCATAGCCTAATCTATTACCACTAGATTACTCACTTGGCTATTTCCACAAGCCTTTCCACCAGCCCTTTCTCTCTCCCACCTGTCTATACCATTGACCGACCCTGTTCCTGTCCTAAATATCCCCTCGGGCTCTCTATCCTTGATTGACTGCTCTTAACTTCTAACTAACAGCACGTTCTTGGACACGCCAACGTAGTGGCAAAGCCCTCTCAGCTGCTCCTCCACCCCCAGTCACAGACCCAGCGAAGGAAGGCAGAGCCAGAGGATGTAGGAAGATTGGGCTTTTCGAGCAGAGCAGCTCTGGGTGACATTGTGGTCACCCGGCTTATGGTAGGAGGAGGATGGAAAGGAGTGAGAAAGACATCGAGTGGCAGGATTTCGTTTTTCCTTTTTTTTTTTCTTCCCTTTTTCCATTCCCAGGGCTTGAATTTAACAATCATTGGGCACAAAAGAAAGAAAAAAAAAAAAAAAAAAAAAAAAAAAAAAAAAGGGCTAGTCCAACAAACGAATAGGAAAGCGCACAAAATTTAAAACAAATAAAATGAAACGCTTCCCATCCTGTAAAATCCCCTCGAAAAATAAAGGTTTGAAAGTGCTATGTGCTTTACCATGACTCACCCATCGTACTGCTGTTGTGTTTTCTGTGCTGCAAAGGGAGATGGGGTGCGGCCGCCTGTTCCCCCCCCGCAGGGTGCGTGGGGCTGACCTTGCTGCTGAGATTCTGCTGTAACTGAGTCAAAGCTCCTGGCTGGCCCCAAATCACGGTGCCCTTGAGCACTCACTGCCCACCGCTGCCTTGGTCCTGCTTAAATTCCAGCCCTGCTCTCCCAGGGAAGCTGTGTCAGGCTTGGAAGGGACATTTCTGCCCAGAAAGAGGTGTGCTTGCCACACGCTGGAGGGAAAGGATGTGATATTGTTTTTCCTGTCGTGGATTTTGGGATTTAAGGGATGGGTGGGAAAGAAGGGAGAAGGAAGGTATTTGGATTTTGCTTTATAGAGAGGGTCCTGACAGGAGCGAAGGGATGGTTAAGTCTCACAGGCTGAGAACTCTTTTTTTTAACTTCTGAATGTTCTCTGTGCCTTATATTATTAAATTCCTGCCACAGTGTGAGCAACCTGATGAGTCTGTAATAAAAAAATAATGTTTTGAAACACTGACAATAAACCAGCTTGCAATGTTCCTCTGTTTCATCCCATCCCAAGGAGGGGAATCGCACACGCATCACCAAGCCCCTGCTCATGTTCAGGGTGTCTCATGGACATCCCAGCCCCAGGGAAAGATCTGGTCCAAGGTAAGACAAGGTGCTGCTGCCAGTCACGGTCCGTCACTGCACTGTAAAGGGACTCGTTGGGGGATATCAGATGGGTAATGCAGGGGCAGATACAGCTGGAGCGACGGAGGCAGACAGGGTGACTGCAGCAGCCAGCACAGACACTCACGTGGCTCTTAAGGTCCTTGCTTTCACAAGCAATAAAATCCCTGGGAAAGGCAAAAAGGCACAACAGTAGAAAAATAAATACAACCATTTGCACGGGCTAAAAATATCCGTCTTGCAAGGGCTTTGGTTCAAGCTGTGAGGTTCCCCTGTTAACAGCCCTCGCTGGCTGTGCTGTGCTCCAGGGTCAGACCCTGCACGGGGTCCCTCCCGGCTGCAGATCCCTGGGCAGGTCGCATCGTTCGGGGTGGTCACTTTGGAAGTGCTTTGCCAAGCTCTTTGAACCCAGTGGGAGAGCTGGAAAGAGGGGCCAGGCAAAGCATTTTCACCCCTGCTTTGAAACCCAGGGCTCATTCCACCCGGCCACACTGCTTCCCGGAGCCGTTATCCAGAGGGGAAGTTTCTTGATGGAGACACAGCAAATGTGTCTCCACCTCAGAGGCCACCACTGCTATTTGGCAGGCCTGGCACAGCGAGGGGCACCACTGGCCCGTGACCCCCAACCGGCTAAAGATCCAGCTGAGCAGCAACCAGGGATGCCAAACCACCTCCAGGGCCAGGGGAGCTGGCGAGAGAAGATTTGGGCAGGGGGGAGGACAGGAAGGCAGACGGGGATCAGAGGAGATCAGCCGCCCTGTGCAAACCTGCTTTCCAGTCGCTCCCTCTCAGCCAGAAACTCCAGCTCATGCTCCTCCACCGAGACGCAGCCGCATTCCTTCCAGCTCCAGCCCTCCCCGCCAGCGCTCCCGTGCAAGGGAAGGTTTTCCAGCCCTCCCTTCTCCTCTGCCTTCCCCCTTTGTGCAGGAATCGGCTCTAAATCACAGCAAGCTCTGGGAAGTCAGCAAGCTGCACCAGGAAAGCCAGTTATCACCACGCAGGGAGGCAAAGGGACCCATCTCCAAGTCCATGTCCCACCCCAGAGGACAACACTCGTGTCCTGGCAGTGTCACAGAGCTCAGAGGGCCCAACTCGGTGCTATCACAAGCACAGCTGTCCTGGCTTTAACTGAGCATCAAAGCGAGCTCAAGAGGTTGCAGCTGGGCCTCCCTTAACCCTTCAAAGCTCACAGCTTGAAGTATTAAGTTGCTGGAATTTCACGGCCTTGGGGCAAATGCCATACATGGGGTTACATCAGGACTTGAGGAATAAGCTGGTCTTTTTGAGCTTTCAGACCTGGACGGTCAGCAAGGGTGGAACAGAACAGCCCTTTCCCTGTTACAGCCGAAATGGAGCCTTCCAGTGCCTGCGCAGCAGCAAAGAAACTCGCCTGTACTTTCCAAGTGGAAATTCTCCCTGTGGTTACTGCTGACTGAGGACACAGTTTGCAAACTTGGAAGAAAAAAAAAAAAGAAAATGGAAAAATAACAGAGCTCTGAATCCAAACCAGCCCGACACAAGCACAATCTGGCTTGAGTGCTACAGACAGAGGTGGTTCATTTTGCTGTATTCTGGGCAGCACCACTGAGCAGCTCGCTCAGCATTGTCCTGTCTGCAATCAGGAGAGAAAAGATGGGAAAGACAAAGATTCATGCAGAGATTAGTGCTTTCCTGTCTGTTTTCCTGACCCCTACTTTTACAAAAGAAACGAACGGCGGCATAAATGCTGCATTAAGGTTTGTGGCTTAAATAGTCAAAATGCAGGTGATGCAAAGAGGTGACGGAGCCAGGATCACTGTGACTATACCAGTCACACATCTACGACAGCCTGGGCTCCAAGGCTTGACACCTCAACACCCAGCGATGCCTCTGCTCTAGCTAAGGGTGTCACTGGAAACCCACTGGGTGAAACCTCCCCTGAAGCATGTGTGAAGGCTGGTATTTTACACACGCTCACACCTCGTTAGCTAGAATCAGTTCTGCAAAGGAAGACTAAGCCATATAGCCAGAATATATATATATATATATAACCTACAGAAGAGCTGGAGAGGGACTCTTTGTCAGGAAGTGTAGTGACAGGACAAGGGGCAATGGTTTTAAATTGGAAGAGAAGACATTTAGATTAGATATCAGGAAGACATTTTTTACTATGAGGGTGGTGAGGCACTGGAACAGGTTGCCCAGGGAAGTTGTGGATGCCCCATCCCTGGAGGGGTTCAAGGCCAGGCTGGATGGGGCTTTGAGCAACCTGGTCTGGTGGGAGGTGTCCCTGCCCAGGGCAGGGGGTTGGAACTAGATGATCTTTAAGGTCCCTTCCAGCTCTAACCATTCTATGATTCTATGAACCAAGGGCTTTAACCCATTTTTAGGTGGCTCTTGGTGGTGGGGTTGATGGATTTACTGTTCCCAGCAGTTAGGTATCTCTCACAGCAGATAAAGCACACCCAGGCTGCTGCTGCTGAGAGAATCTCACCATGACCTGGCACAGGGTAGGTCCCCATGGTGCTTGGCAGGGACAGTGCTGGGACCACCTCCACCCCTCTGCCCTGCTCTGCCTCCATGAGCAGCTCCTGAACTGCCCATATCCACCAAAGATGGACAAACTCAGTAAAAACCACCCCTACCTGGAGAGCAGAGACAACACCAAGGAAAAACACCCCAAATAGAGATACTTATCCCTGCAGCCGGCCTGGAGGGAGAGCAGGAGGCAGGCAGACACCCCTCTGCGCCCCCCCCCCACTCCGAAGATGTGAGAGGCACCTCCTCTTCCTCCTCCTCCTCCATCCCGGCCGA